CCAAATATGTCCCTTCTCTCACCTTTGGACAGAGGCAAAGGCCTGTGCCCATATGCCATCAGCAAAGCCCACACTGACGGCAGCAGCTCAGAGGGCAAGGGGCCATGCCCTCAGAAGGCTGCAAGTTCCTCCAAGCTTGGAGGGTCCCTGGTGGGCAACAAGCAGGGCCCCTGGCGCGCAAACCTACTCTCCGCCGCCAGGAGTCCATTTTATTTTTTGTATTTTCAAAAAGAGCATCCCCCAGACAGTCTGCCCAACGTGATTGATGCTGGGGGTGAAAGCTTTTCACAGTCCTTGGCCTTTGACCTTGCTTCCAAAAGCGGCGCTGTGGTGGCGGCGGTTTCTGGCACGCCTTCTGGGGCTGTACGGGCATGTGCTGACTTTGCTGCTCGCTCCCAGGCCAGGTTTTGTAAACAATCAGGAGCCACTTCCCAGTTTAACAACTGGGAATGTTTTCTGCTGGTTTACCCCATAAGCCTTTATCCAAGCATTATTTCTGCTTACAATAAAAGATGATCCAATCCAGGACGTTAAAATAAAACACCCTGGGGGCTGAAGGGCTGGTACCACAAATGGCTCCTGGACCATAGTTCTGCCTCAGCAGCGAGCGCTGTGTGCACACAAGCTGGGTAAAAGCAGGAGAGAAGGATGCCCCTCGTGCCCTGTGGACACACTGAGGGCTGGGACGAGCTTCCGTTGCGTTGAGCTGCCCTTGTGCCTGGTGCCTTGGTCACAGCCGGTGAGGACAGCATCCATAGGGATGGAGAAGTGGGCCCTGCAGTCTACAAGCCAAAGAGGACTCCAAGCCTCTTCCTCGGCCCAGCCTTGATCTCCACGTGGTGGATTAAATACATTAGCAGTTAAAGCAGTTAATTGCTGTGCAGGGGGCCAGCTCATTGTTTGTCTCTGAATCACCCACCCACACCAGGTGTCTCAGATAATAGACTGGGAACTCGCAGCAAGGAGGATTTCCTGTCTGCAGATGTGCCGATTACGGTGCTGAGTGAAGACAGTCAGCCTGCGTTGCGCCGCGGGCTCGAATTCACCCTGTGCAGTTAACCAGTTGTGGCCTGAATCCTCAGCTGTCTGGGGGAGCAGGAGCAGGACAGGGCATCCGAGTGGACACCTGGGTGTGTAAACACCTCTGAGCTGGAGCTCATCCTTAGCTTAGCTTAGACTTTGCTTCAGAGGATGGGCAGAGGGCCTCTGAAGTGAAGCTTAGGAGAACCAGCAGTTAAAGCTGTTGCGTACCCCTCAGCATCTCAGAAGGCTTTCTATCCTTCCCTTGAGGGAAAGGTAGAGACTCTGGCGCATCCTTTCCTGAACCACAGGAGTCCTGCGCGTGATCAGAAAGCCCAGACAGCTGGTGTTCCCACTGTCCGGAGTGCCAGGAAGGGCTGTCCTGGCCCTGCCTCAGGAGCCCAGTTGATCTGTTAGGAATCAGTCATTTCTTCTTCTTCGGACTTTGTCTTAGCAGGAGAGCTGGTGTCGTCCACCTGTGTGTAAAGCCTAAGGATGACTTCTGAGCCTCTAAAATGGCATAAAGGGAGCCAGCAGGCACTGCGGGCCTGGCTTTCCCACTTCTAATCCAACCACCATACTGAGGACCCCACTTCATGTACAGTCCACCTGAACAGAATGTGCACATAGACCACGGCCAGGGAGGTGGTGGCGTCCGTGGAGACAACACTGGGGGCCTGTAGTGTCCAGGGAGTGGAATGCATTTGCCCAGGAGGGGCTGCAGCCTGGGGCTCCCCTCTCTACCCTGGGAACTGCTTGCTCTGGTTTACATGAGGTCATTTGCTTAGTTAGTCATGTTCAACCTCAGCCGATGGCTCTCTCGTGCCACAGATATGCCCCATTCAAGTCCTCTGGGCTATCCACCCCACCCCCACCCCCACCCCTTAGGGCTGAGGGGCAGCACTGGGAGCTGGAGGCAAAACAGAAGCAAGCGCCCCCGCCCCTCTCCCGCAGACTCTAGGAATTCATGGGTGGGAGTGCTCTGAGTCCAGCAAGATGGATGGGACAGTCCAGGCCCCAGTGCCTCCTGAAAGCTGTGAGTGGGGCCCAGGCTCTCCATGGCTGGCACTTGGATGTTGGAGAGGGGCTGGCAGGCTGAACACAGGTGCAACCTTGTTGAGAGAAGCCCAATCCAAGGCCAGCAGGCCTGTTCTTTGGGGGTGACCTGCATCCTGCTGTGGCTGTAGGAAACTGCATGTGGCCATGTTCTTCCCAGTGGGTACTCCGTAGTGGCCTGTCTGTGATGGGCCTAACTACCTGTGATGAGCCCACCCTTCTCTGCTCTCAAGGCCTTAAGGGAAGCATTGCTCTGCTTGTGAGCCTCTGATACTCTAACACCTTTTTATTTTAGTGTAAACGTCAAGTTTAATTAGCAACATGAAGAGAGAACCCAATCTGCTTGTGTATGTGGTTTGTTTTCTTGGAGGAGAAGACAGTCATGGAGCTCTTCCTGGGCCTGAGGCCACAGGCTTCCCCACCACACCATGTGGCCCCAGACGGTGCACCATATGGTCAGTGACTGTCATTTATCTCTGCTCTGGCTCACAGACTGTCCCCCTGCCCTCTGTGTGGGATGCCCTGCACAGCCAGGGGCCAAGAGCTATGCCAGGCTTGCGAGCTGGCTCCTCCGTGCGTCCAGGGTCACCCCAACTTCCACAGCCATCAGACCCAGGCTGGCCTACCTTCATGCTCATGGTCATCCAGCAGAGTCTTTTTACCAAGTCAAATTCAATATTTATGGTTAGAACTTGGTGGAAACCAATTTCTTTAAAAAAAGAAAAAAGAAAAGAAAGCCCTGGTGAAAATGTTTCTAAACATAAGTGAACATCGTTTATATGCATTAACGTGCACTATCTAAATCTAAGTGCTACTGGGAACAACCAGCAGGAAGGTTATATTGACATTTGTAATTGTTACAGCAATAGTTACCACCTGCCAGGGAACATGTTCCTTCCTGGGGGTTCCAGTGGACCAGGCTGCAGCTGAACCTGAGCTGGACGCTCCACCAAGTTCTAGGCCTGACTGGTTTAGGGGCCCATGTGAGCTTATGTTATATGCTGTCAGTGCTGCATGCAAGCTTGAAAAGGAAAAACCCACATGTAGGGGGGTTGGTGACAGGTGTCATCAGGATGGCCAGGGGGGAGTGGCAGGTGCTCAGTGGTCATAGTGAGCCACTAGCCTCAAGTCATGATAAGGTCCTCAGGTCGTACAAAGGCTCACTAATTTCATTCAGCAAACATTGAGCCCTGCCTGGGCCCCAGACCAGCAGGATCGATGCTCTGCCCTGCCCTTGGGGTGCTTTAGGTTGTGGCTAGGGTTCTGGGGCTCATGTAAAAAGGGCTATTCCAGAAAATAAAAGGAGCTCTTTGCCATCATTATCCTTTTCCCTAAAATCTCAAAGATGACAAGAGACATAATAAATTTTTAAAAGGTAGGTTTCAAGGGATCTGACTAGAGGTGCCAAAGGTGTGAGTTCCGCATTCTGTGTCTGGTCCAGGGTGCTGCGCAGGCCCAGCCCATGGGGGTGGCTGGCTGTGGGGGCCACGTATGTGCCCCCCAGGAGGGTTGGTTCTCCATGAGCCCGTGTGAAGCCGCTGGTCCCCCATCCTCTTGGCACTGAGCTTCAGGCTGCTTCCTTTACACGCTGGCTGCGCCTGTCTGATCAGAGCCCCTCATTCGCGCTGTCATACTCCTGCTGCCACTTAAATCTTACCTCATTACACGGATTGCCCTTCACTCGTCGGAACGTGTGCTCCAGGCAGGCGTGAAATTGGAGGGAATGCCCGTTTTCCCATAACGGGGTGAAAGACACGCATGAAACCGCATGTGTCCGGTTGTCTGCATCCCTGTGCCCAGCTGAGCAGGTAGTAATGACCAACAGGCGCCGTCTGGGGGGTTTTCGACCTTCAGCCTTCTCTGGCCTTCTCCAGCTGGCTGGGTGAGCATCGTGGCCTAGCTGCCTCCCCCGGGCCAGCAGCAGCAGCTGGTGGGACTCCAGTGCAATGAGGGGAGGGCTGGCCTGGTCCAGCTGCACTAAGAGCTCTCAGGCTGAATGCAGCTTCTTCCACCACTTCAGCACCCTGGGGTGCCCTGGATGCTGGGCACAGGGAGGGAGGCACTATCTTACCTTGGTGACACCAGGGCTCACGTGGTACCCTAGAGGGACTCAGGCCAGTGGGCAAAGCTGGGCCTGGTGAAGGAGGCAGCTTCAAGGGCCCATCCACATATTTATTCGCACATTGCCTCTGAGGAGGAAATGAGACCATGTTTGCATCTGGAATCTTAATGCCCTGATTGTGGTAAATATGATGCAGTGGCATTCGTGTATCACATGAGAAGCTCTTACTTACAAGGCAATGAAGTTATGGAGATATGCATAAATGAATGGAAAAAAGGCAAGGAACTGGCAGTTCACAAAAGGAAATACAGCTAGTAAATACGTGGCCAAAAGTACTTAACTTTACTGGTAAATGTACTGGTAATCAAAGAAGCGAAAGTTAAAACAGCAGTGGGAGTGAAGGAGCAAGCCCAAGAAGGAGCCATCTGTCTAGGCACAGCTCCCTGCCCTGCTCCGAGGAGGCCCCACCTGGCTGGTCAGCCTTCCTCTAAGGACCTGTCCCAAGGAACTAAACCAACGTTTGGACAGACCGCCGTCTCCATCCCAGTAGTGTCCAGGGAGCAGAGATGTGGGAGTCAATCCAGGGGAGCCACTCAGCAGTGCTCGGCAAACCCGAGCCAGGTGCCAAAGAGCTGAGGCCCCAGGGAGCAAGGGATCCCATTGGTCATAGAACGCATGGCCTCCTGGGGGCGGGGGGGAAAGCACCATGCATGACACACAGGGTGATACAGATGGGGGGATGCCGTGGGGGCTCCCTTCTCTCCCCAGATCGCCTGAGGAGTGCTACCTTTATTTTTGCATAAGAGGGAAATGGTCAGGGAGGAAACTTTGCACGATGCCTGAGTCTGGCTTCTGGTCATTTAAGTCTGACCTTGACTGGGCATTGTCCATGGGGCCAGTGCTGCCCTGCTTGCATGGCTGGCCACTGGGTCCCTACCCCAGCACCTCTGACTTCCTTGAGGGATCCAGGCCTGAGCTATGTGGGGTCCGCACACCATCTGACTGGGCCCCTACCCCCTTTGGGGAGACATGATGGCTCTGAGCACAAGGGAACAGAACTTCAGAGGGTCATGTGGGATGTCCCTCCCTCCTCCATGACCCTTGTCCACATTGTTTGTTCAGTGAGGCCCATGTCCTGGCTGTGGCCCCATGAGGCTGACAGGGCCTACCACATAGCTCAGGGGCATGGCCCACAGAATGGGGTGCCTGGGTGGAGCTGGGCCCCCTGCCAACCCCAGGTCTCACCCCACACAGGCCCAGTCAGCACAGCTTCCAAAACCCAATGTGCCAACGGCTGCCCTTTTAGGGCCATTTCTGTTTGGTGCAACCACTCTCTTCCTTCACTGTTCATTCCCAGAAGCATCAGTGGAGTGCCTCCCACAAGTTGGGCATATTCCTTCTGTCTACTCCACTCTTGTTACTCCTTTTAAATTTATCTTTATATTCTTGAGATCTTGGATGTGATTAGGCTGGCATCTGGGAGGTGTGTGGTTACCATGGTTACCATAGGGCACAGGAGGAAACATTCCTGACCTCCCATGACCGGCCAGGCAGGAGTGCAGCATGGCTAGCCTTAGAGCAGGGTGGTCTGCAGGCAGCCAGCTTTGCCCTCACATGCTCCAGCCTCAGCCTGGAGCCATCACCTAGAGGTCATGGGCCTGGTGAGCTGCTGTATGCCCTGTTCCCCACAACTGAAGGTCTGGGGAGGAGCCTGAGAGCTGAGCTATGAGTCCCCTACCTGCAGAGCCCCTCAGCCCATCCAGCAGACCCCCACCAGGCCTCCCCACTGGGCCCAACTCCTTCCTCACTGAGGCACAGCACATTCCAGTCCTAGATGCACAAGAGCTCCCAGATGCCAGCTGGATCCCCTACTCGGGAGTCAGGCCTGGGCCCCCATGCTGCCTTATGCAGGACAGGACACTGGCCAGCATGGCATGTTGCACTCTACCTGCTCACCGGTCTCCATTCACATGACTAGTGCCAGTATGGATGCCATCAGGGACCTCTAGAGCCTTGCGTCACGTCGCCTGTGTCTGGTATGCTGGGTAATGGGTGTCAGCCCGCCTAGCACCTGATTCCTGTGGCCAAGCAGAATGAAGAAGCTGGAGCCGGCTCCCCATGAACTTGAGAAGCATGGCTTAGTTGAGTTTGTGTGTTTTGACTTCCCACTCTGGGAGAGCAGCTGGAGACTTAAGGTTTCCCTTTCACAGAACTTGGTCTTCCAGATGTTCAGATTGGCACCACCCACTACCCGACCTCTCGTGTGTCTGAGCCACCACAAGCGGTGGGAATTGTACCTCTGAAACTGTTTATCATTGCCTTCGGGAGACACGCTGAGCCTCAGGGAGCTCCAGGGGGCCGCCGCTGTCCTCCTAGAGCCTGGCGGGAAGAGCTGCATTTGCTACCTCCTGGCTTAGCAAGGCCACCTTGTCTGAGTTAGGGGAGAAAGGGGGCTCTGCTGGCAGCTTGGCTGTGACAAGGCCCAGGGCTGTAAGCATATGAAGGCTGGCAGGGAGGCTGCTGTGCCGCCGTCCCCTGCCCCACTGGCCTTTGCACCCAAGACTTGCTCGTTAGGATTAGCCAAAATGACTGCACTTGAGGACAGGGATGATGTGTGGTTTGGGCTCCGCCTTGCTGCCCATCTCCGTGCTCAGCTCTAGAGGTCTCAAAGCTGGGGATGTACGCTGGGCAGTCATCACAGGCACATGAGAAGAGGAGCTGAGGCTTGTAGCATCCAAGGCCTGGCCTCTAGCCCCACTCACTCAGCACCTGTGCTGGCTGCCAGAGGGGGTTGGTGGGACCTGCCCCGAGACCCTGAGCAGAACATAAGTTTGTGCATTCTCGCCGCCTGCTCTGGGGGACATCCTGCTGCCAGACTCCGGGGACAGGAGGCCATAGCCTATTCATGCAAACACAGTCTGGTGGCAGGATGGAAAAGCATAAATCCACCACAAAGCACCATCCTGTCCCTAGTATGAACTTGTGGGAAGAGCACCCTGCGGGAGGGTGGGGAACCCTGGGGTCACAGAGAGTGGAAGGGAGGGTGCCCTACCCCAGGAAGGGCCATATGGGGACACAGGAGGCTTTCAGCTCACTTGGGGCCCACAGACACGCTCCACAAAGACTGAGACACATGTGCACCTCAGCCTCACTGGAAAATGCACGCATATGACAGGAGCCATGGCTTCTGGGAGAGACCTGGGTTGTGTATATTCCATGTCTTCCCCTCAGGGCACAATGCCTTCAGAGGCTGCGTGGCCCTGTCATGTTGTCTCTGCAACCATGGCTAGAGTGACCTTTGTTCATACTGTGCCATGCTATAAGGTGTCCAGGCCTGAAGTAGGCTACCTCCCTGGAGCTTGGCCTCTGCAGTAGGGAAGGGTTGAGATCACCGTACAGGGCTGGGGCATGCATCATTCTTGGGTTGTCGCTGCTTCTAGACTTTTTCTGTGGTCAGAGCCATAGGAACTTGGTATTTAAAAAAAGAAAATGGAATGAGTAAATTCCACATTTAAATTTGACATTATGGGGTTTTAACCACTTTGAATGGCACATCAGATCTGTTTCCAGGTTTATTTATTGTTAGAATATAATCCTCTTAGGACATACAGTGGAAATATGTGTTGCCATAGTCTCTTGAGCAAATTATCTTTGTATGTGCTTGGTTATCAACTGCCTATCCAATTAGGCCCATTGGTTTCAAGTTGTTTACAAGTTACAGGGACTTTTCTTCCATTTTTAATTTTTTGTTGTTTGAATATATAAACTGTGTATATGATTAAAAAACCAAAATTGTATCACAGGCTATATTCAGAGAAGTCTTGTCTCCATCTCTGCTTTCTCTACCCTGTTTCCTTCCTTTCTGTTTCTTCTAGTCCTTCTTCATCTTCTCGTTGCTTCTTTGTGCAAATAAAGGTGAGGTATGTGCATATGTGCACTGTGTATGTGCGTGTGTGTGTGTGTGTGTGTGTGTGTGTGTGTGCGTGTGAGGCTCACAGAGGCCAGGAGCCCCTCGACACTATTGTGCTTCATGTTTTACCGATTCCAAATGGGCATTCTGAGAAGTATTCTGAATAAACCAAGGAGTCTCAGTCAGAACTGCTGAAAGTCTCTCAGCCTTGCTCTTTATTTCCTTCAGGTCGAATTCCAGAAACCAGAAGTCTGAATTTGGAGAATGCTGGAATAAACACCAACCCCAACAGTCAGAAGATTCTGGTTGATGCTCAGGAAGCCACCTCTGTCCCCCACATTTATGCCATCGGAGACGTAGCAGAGGTACAGCCTGCACCTGCCACCTGGCCTCACCACCCCATGCCCCCACCCCACTGGGCCTCAGGGGCTATGAGGCTCCCAGAAGCTCTGGACCAAACCCCAGGTGCCATTAGACTCAAGTTCTGGGAAGGATTGGGCATCAGCCTCTGCTTGCTCGAATGCTCCTCCTTTCTGTGGAGAGGGGATAGGAAAGCTTTCAAAACTGAAAGCAGATTCCTGTTGTGAACCTCTGAGGGAGGGGCATCTGTTCACACACAGGGCCTCAACTTCCCCAAAGATGGACTGGTAATACAGAGCCTTGGGGCTGTCCTGGCCCCACAGTACCAGGCTTGACCTCCTCACCTCAGTTTGCCCTCTGAACTGTGGGTGGGTCAGTACCCTCCCCAGTTGGGCTGTCAGATGGGGGCAGGGCACATGGACACAGCCCCAGCTCACCGCCTGCCTGCTGCTCCCCTTGTGAGTCTCTGGTGGAAGCCACACCCCTAGCCTGGGAGACATCTTGTCAGCTCCCCTCCCTTCTTCATGGCCTGTGGCTGGTCTGTTGTGGGATCCCCATGTTCCCAAAGCCTCAGGAGTAGTCGACCTGTCCTGCATATGTGCAGCATGTTCTAAGGAAGGTGGCTCAGGCGGGGCCCTGGCCAAGCCTGAGAGTTAGATGCTCCAGGACCCCAGACCCCAGCAGGCCTCTTGGCAGCCAGACCTGCCAGCACCATTGACGTGTTAGTTTCCTGTGGCTGCCATTACAAATCACCACAAACTGGGTGGCTTAGATCAACAAAAATGTATTCTCTCACATTCTGGAGGCCAAAAGTCTGCAATCAAGGTATGGGCAGGGCTCTGCTCTCCCCAAAGCCTGTAGGGGAAGACGAGTCCTCATCCCTTCCATCTTCTGATGGCCCTGGGATGTCCCAACTTGGAGCTACAGCACTCTGTTCTCCTTCTGCCCATCTTTGTGTGTGTGTGTGTGTGTGTGTGTGTGTGTGTGTCGTTTCTTTCTTCTTAGGACCCTCTCATTGATTTTGGGTCCACCCTAAGTGACCAATCCTAAATGATCTCAATTCTTAACTTATATTTGCAAAGAGCCTCATTTCCAAACAAGGTCCCATTCTGAGGTTCCAGGCAGACACGCATGTGGGGGATGCTATTAACCCATCATGATGTGTTCTGGCACAGCCACTTTTCTGAGTTCTGTGGCCACTGCAAGAACAGACAAAAGTTCTAGCCCTCATAGAAGTGACATTCTGGTTGGGGTCATAGATGACAAGTAAATAAGTGAACCATTTCAGGTAGATGTCAGAAGATGCTTAGTGCAGCAGTCCAGGGACACCTGAGGGAGGAACAGAGCCAGCTAGAGGACCCAGGGGAGCTCAGTGAGGACGCTTGTGCCCATCTGAGAGTGTAGGCACCACCCTGCCCATGCATACCCCAGAACCCACTTTGGGAAATGCTTGGGGATGGGGAAACCAGTATCTACAAGTGGGCCCCTGGGTGGAACATCCCAGAGTTGAGGGGGTATAGGTGGCAGCTATCCCCAGTGCTGCAAGACCATCCCAACTTCAGCCTCTTCCATAACTCACAATGGGCAGGTCTTCTGGAGAGCTTGGCACAGAGACCAGGGCGGGAGGCCATGCAAGGCTGGGCCTTCCCTTTGTTCCTGAAGGACCAGCCTACCCATCTGACATAGTCTTTCATGAAGACACCTGACCCCATATAGACCCCTCCTTCTAAGACAACTTGGCCCCTGGCGTTCCCGTGGTACCAGAAGGGTCATCCACTAGCTGTGGCCAGTGCTGACTTGTGAGCCAAGAGGCTGCCACTTGAAGCTGCCTGTGAACCCAGACTCATGAAATGGTTCGTGGGGAGCAGACTACCAGATGGAGGTGGGACCCTGGGGACAGCTTGCTGGAGCATGCGGTCAAGAGCTGCAGCCACTCCTCACAACCAGGTCATCTCTGACCATCTAGTCAGGCTGCTGGGGTGGACGGAAGTGAGTGGCTTCACATGCCCACATGACTGGGCAGCGTTGTTGCTCGTGTGATCTCTGGTGGTTGGGACATGGCATTCTCTGGTGGCACCTTCTGTGTTCATCCTGTGTGCTGCACCCTAAGATAGCACTCATGGTCCTGGGAGAGTGCCTTGTGTATTAGACCGTGCTTTCTGTGCACCCAGGAGCCGAGTGAGATCCATGTGCAACAGGGCTCATGCCGACATAGCAGAAACCATAGTATTTCAGATTGTGTTGCCAGAAATACATAGTGCACACAAAGGCAGTATCTACTGAAATATTAAATCTACTCAGTTGGAAAGGTCATTCTGGGCAGTCAAAAGAGTTAACACCCCAGTGGTCTGGCATCCAGCGGGGAAGAGTCCAGCAGGCGGGTGGGGCGGCCATTGTCTAGTGCGATATTGTGTGCTGTGCGCATGGACGTTTCCGCAGTTAGTCAGGCCCGGTGGAATGCACGGGCTGCTTTCACAAGTTTATCTCTGTGGATCTCTATTCATTTCTGGAATGTCAAACAACATCTGCATTTCCTGCTGCTACAGAGGTGATTGGCAGCCGGTCCCAGGCTGACGCGTGCAGGAACACTGGGGGCTGTGCCACCTCCTGCTCCCCAGGCAGGACACACCCTGGGACGGAGGGGCCTCCAGCAGCACGGCATTCTGACTTGGGATCTGTAATGGACTGTGACATGCAAGCCAAGCTGCTTGTCAGGAGCACACGAAATGCTTCCAGGGCCCATTTTAGCCTGAATCTCAGTTAACGTGAATGGTTGAACAGTAGCGGGATCTCCTTTGAGCTTTGTCATGAGGGCAGCTCTCCAAGGCCACCAACATGAAGAAGGAGTTCGGAGAGAAGCTGTGCACGAGTGTGGGCAGCACAGCTGGGTGCATGGGCAGCTTACCTGCTTTTCCAGGGAAGGGGGTCATAACTACAGGTGTATTCTTAGAGCAGAACAGAGGGAAGCAAGCCAGAGAACAAGCCAACCCCCAGGAGCCCTGGGGCCCAGAGGCCTTTGGAGGTTTCTGAAAGGGGCAAGCTTCTCTAGGAAGGCATGGGTGGTGGTGAGGGTACTGCACAGACTCCCTCAGACATGCCAAAGTGACCCCAGGCTCCCTCCTTACATCAGGGGCGGCCCGAGCTGACACCCACGGCTATAATGGCAGGAAAACTCTTGGCCCGGCGCCTGTACGGTCAGTCCTTAGATGTGATGGATTACAGCAACGTGAGTACCCACCGCCCTTTAGCATGCTAAGTCCAGCCTGGAGACGGCCGCAGTTCTTTCCGGGGGCATGGGGTGTGTGTGCACGTACATCTGTGGGAGTGCATGCACATGTGCCTCCACGTGTGCACGCATGTGAGCTTTAGCTCTGAAGGTGTGGCCCAGGAACAAATGAGGGTGTCCACCCGCCTTCTTATGAGCCGCCAGCCAGCACATCTGAGGACCTAGCCTGCACTTGCTGTTCTTGTGTCCCGTGGCAGGCATCTTCAGTTTTGGGTCCCCAAGGGTATAGGTCACTTAAGACCTGCTTTCCAGGTGCCCACCACAGTCTTCACCCCGCTGGAGTATGGCTGCGTGGGGCTGTCAGAGGAGGAGGCCATGGCTCGCCATGGAGAAGAGCATGTGGAGGTAAGGTCCCCGAGGATAGAGGGGGGCCAGGACATCATGCCTGTGTGGCGCTCATGCCCTGATGACGGCCTCTCCCCGACAGAGGCCTGGTGAGCCAGCAACATTGGCCTCCCTGCTTTCCAGGGCCTGAAGTTTGGCAGGGTAGGGCAGGGGGGCCCCGAGTGATGGCTGAGATATGGTATGAAGGGATATGTAGGGCGGATTGCTGGAGGACAGCCCCAGAAACGAAGGCACGTTTGGGTTGTGGTCCCCCTCACAGGGGCATGTGTCTCCCTCCACCTGGAAAGGCTTCTCTTACCCTCTGACCTTTTCCTGCCCCCCAGCTGCTGCTCTCCACCTCCACCCTGCCCCACCTGGCCCTGCCCTCGGGTACCTCCACCTTCCTGCCACCCCTGCCTCGGTTCCTTATCTGAGATTCGTCCAGCGCTCACAGGCCCCCAATAGCCCAGACTTAGGTACTCACCCTAGAGGAAGGCTGCTTCTGGAATCTGTTCAGCTGGCCTGCTGTGGCCTGGGGTGGCCCCAGGAGGTGCCCCAGGTGGCTCAGCAGGATGCAGGAGCCTTTGAAACCTGCCAGGCTGTGCATGCTGAGAGCCTTCCGTGTGGCTTCATCTTGCTACTGCAGCAGCTTGCAGACGGACCAGGAGAAACCAGACCCCGTGTGGCCACCACTGTGGGCCTGGTGTCCTTCGGGAATGAGTCACTGGGTTCCAGGGCCTGCCCCTTGCCCCAGCGCCCCGGTCCCCTCCATCAACGGGCCATGCCTGACAGGCCGGCCTTCCCCCCAGCACTGTATTTGCTATTTTTGTTTGATTCATCACAAGTACATGGGGACATATGTTCATGGCATTCTATAATGTTGTTTTATGTTTCACAATGTTGAATGGCCAAATACCCTTTGTTTGTTTTCTTTTCAATTCTGTCTTAGTTAGAACAATATTCTCTGAAGTTCCATTAATTAATAATGGCTGTGCAGCACATGTGAGCGCCCCGCTCATTTTTTACTCGGCCGCAGCCCCGAACACGCTGTCGAACCCTTCTCGGGTGCTGAAAGCCTTTGTCCGACAGCTCCAGTGTGGCCCGGGGGCCTCCCTACATCTGCCTCCCCCTCTTTGCTCAAGTGAGGGCCCAGCAAGCACCAGAGTGCCCTCAGGAGGCCAGAGAGCCACTGGGTGGGCTGGACATCCCCTTCCAATGTCCGCAGTCACCCCGTCCACTCTGCAACATCCACCTGGTGTGTACTCCTGGGGGCACCGTGTCCTATGTTGAGCCTCGGACTGTGACTTGTCACAGTGGACTGCACTTAGCCAGTCTGGTGCCCACTTTGCTACTGTGATCGGTAGGGGTCTTGGGCCTGGATTGAAGAGGGTCTGTCCTGCAGACAGTGTGGCTCCAGCCACAGTCTACCTTTGTGTGGGAGAGAGAGAGAGGGGTGCTATCCATGGCCAGCTGAGCCATGTCCTTGCCCCAGACCACAACCTGCAGGCCAAGTGGGCAGTTCTGGGTTCCCACCACGTCCACGCAGTTCACTGGACCTGTAAAATGCCTATGAGGCTACTGACTCCAGGAATCGTTATCTTGTCACTTAGGTTTATCATGCATATTATAAACCACTGGAGTTCACAGTGGCAGAACGGGATGCATCCCAGTGTTACATAAAGGTAAGTGTCCTCATGGGCCTGGACTGGGGCATGCCAGGAGGTGAGAGGCAGGGAAAGAGCTGGCACCCACGGGTGGAGAAGCTCCATGCAACCACCCGTGCCCCCAAGGCAGGGCCCTGCGTGCAGCCCCGGGGTCCTGTCTCCAGCCGGGCTGGCAGTTGACAGTGTGGCTTTCAGATGGTGTGCCTGCGGAAGCCCCCACAGCTGGTGCTGGGCCTGCACTTCCTCGGCCCCAATGCAGGTGAAGTCACTCAAGGATTTGCTCTGGGGATCAAGTAAGTCTAGAGAAATGTCAGCCGTTGTGCAATGCCCAGACTGGTGTCCCTCCGAATGTTGGTGGCTCTGCAGTTGGGAGTCTGCCATGTTGGTGTTGCTTTTATGTAGCATTGTACGTGTTTTCAGCAGAGCGTCTCCTCAGATGTGGCACGTCGTGTTACATGAGAGGCAGCCGGGCCACCTGGGGAGCAAAGGGAGAGGCCCATGTCCCTGATCACCCAGGGTGGTGGTTGGGGGTTGGTCACAGTTTGGGTCTTTTCTACTCAAAATGAGCAGGGTTGGGGCCCTTCTTCACATGGCAAAGCACCCAGTCGGTAATGAGCGAGGTTGACGAGAGCTGCCCCAGGGCCAGCATGTGTTTTCCAGAGCTGGGCCTTGGACACAAGCTGTGCTTTGTAGGGTCCCAGGTCCCCAGGCTTGCCTGGAGCCTTTGCTGATGGAGTCTGTGGGTGGAGGTGAGTTGTCTGGGGCAGTGGGGTGTGGGGCTGTCAGAGGCAGGAGGGTAGAAAGGTGAAGCGGCAGTGAGGAAACCGGGAAGGGCTTCCTGGGCCACCTGGAGCCCCATATGTGCTTGGGGCTTGTGGCTGTGGCCAGGACCCAGCCTTGGAGCTTGAGGTGGGGGGGCAGGTAGGAAGTAGAAGTAGGAAAGGGCAGGAGCTAGAGCGGCAGGGCCCATACTCAGGAATGCTGATGGGGCTGTGAGGGTTTAGTACAGATGCCCTGGGAGTATTGAAGCCACTGGGTGGGCCAGGCACCTGGTAACAATAATAATTATAGGACAGAGCCAATAGGAAGATCAAGAACATGAATGGGCAAGTCACAGGAAAAGGAAATTAGTAGAAAAAGTAGAAAGTTGCTGTGTCTCATTTGGAATTTTTAATATAATTAAAATACCAAGAAACCATTTTGGCCAGTGAAGGTTTGACACCGTCCAGTCCAGTGGTGATTGTTTTCTAGCATCTGCAAGTGGAGATGCTGAAGGTTTGAGCAAATTGGTGGAGTGTTCATGTTCAGACACCATCAAGAGGAGGGTGTGAACTGGACATTCCCATTGGGAGCCTTCGGTCCACATTTGAAATGCACACACTTGTTCATGTCAGATATTCTAACACGTGCAGAGACAGAAGAGGGTTGTTTGTCTCAGCCTTGTCTGTGGAGAGTGGAAGCGCCCTGTGGGGAGTCCACACTTCCTGTGCCTCCGAGGAGGTGGTCGCTGTGCCTGGGGGGTGGTCGCTGCTGAGAGTGCAGGGGGGCATGTGTGTGAGAAGAGTGCTGACCAGAAGAGCAAGGTGAGCAGGAACGGGCAGGGGGCTGGGCCGGTGCAGGCTACAGTAGTAAGTGGGCTCAGGCTCGCCGGAGCAGGCAGGTCAAGCCTCACCTTGGCAGGGAGAGGGAGCAGGCCCACAGAAGAACCGGCTGGAGCCATGGGCCAAGCTGGGATTGTGCCCGGTGGGCTGGGAGCAGCAGGAGGCCAGGATGGAGTGAGGGAGGGAGGGGGGAGGTAGGAGGTGGGCCTGACGTGGAGCCGCTTGGCATTTGCTGGGAGACACGTGGGTGTTGGCAGCCGTTCCTGGCCACTGGCTGGGGAAGACAGGGTGGGGGCCAGGACTGGGGAGCAGGGAGGAGACTGTGACTTCTGAGGCCCTCCCCTGGGTGACATCTTCAGAGGGACGGGATCTGTGGACATGCCTCCTTGTGCTGACTCATCGCCTGAGTCCCTCCGTCCCCCTGTGTGCAGGTGCGGGGCCTCCTACGAGCAGGTGATGCGGACGGTGGGCATCCACCCCACCTGCGCTGAGGAGGTAGCCAAGCTGCGCATCTCCAAGCGCTCGGGCCTGGACCCTACTGTGACAGGCTGCTGAGGGTAGGCAGCCATCCCTGCCAGGCCAAGGGCACACGGCGTGCCTGCCGCCCCCACAACCAGGCTCTTTTGAGGCTCAGATCCAGGTATGTAGCTCAGGTAGGCTCTGTGTTTAAGGATGGAACAGTAGTGGGGCGGGGGGGGGGGGGGGGGGGGGGGGGGGGGGGGGGGGGGGGTAGGGTGCCAAACTGTTCTCTCCGGGTACATGGGAGGCTATGCCCGCCGTGCCGCTTCAGACATGTGAGCCCTGTGCCCAGGCCACAGTGGCTGAAGAAACAGGGCTGGGAAGGAGGCCATTTGAGGGCCTCACCCTCCACAGGGCACCCCCGGACACTGGCCTGGCTGCCACTGCTCCCCAGATGCAGGAAATGTCTTGAGGCTGGGCTCACACCACAGGAGGGGCATTGGGTGTGGAAAGCATCCCCGGCTGAGCTCAGTGGGCTGCCGGGCAGGAAGAACGTGCCTCCCTCCAGCTTTGCTCGGCGCAGAGCAGTGCCGGCTTGTTTCCCTGTTGCCCAGAAGGTGGAGATGCTGCCTTGAGCACGGCAGTCACCGCACATCTGGTTCTGTTAGGGCTTTTCAAAGTCAGGCTGGGAAGGTGGCAGCCGGAAGCCTCGGGGTATGTTCATCCCAGCCCTCTTCTGAGGAGGAAGAAATTAGTGAGACCCTCCCTGACCCCTGCTAAAAGGTTGCATGTGGTCAGCGCCTATTCAGCTGTCGATGTGAGAGCATCCTCGAAGCTTCCACGGCCTGGCCTGGGGTGTCTGCTGTGGCTGTCAGCCCCTCCTGGGGTTCAGCTCCTGAGAGCTGATGCAGACTATAGACTGAATGGGGAACACTCCACAAGATGCCCTCAGGCAGGCCCAAGGGCTGAGTGGCAGCTGAGGGTCCCATGGATTCGGGCGCAGGCCCACAGCCCCCCAGCCAGGGCTGCCCTTGATAGAAACAAAGGGTATCCTGAGGAAACGCCTACCAGAATATCACACCTAACAGAGCTGTTATGTTAAGAGCCTGCCATAAATTTTTATCGTTTCAAAATATTTTTTGACAGTACGGTGTCCCTGTGACGCATCAATCCGGGGAGGGGGGTGTGGGGGTAGGGGTTCTCCCTGGGGCCTGTTTCTCCTCTGTCCCCAGAGGGTCCCTGTGTATGGGCACTGGAGACGTGGCCAGACAAATGCAGGGATGGCCTGACTACCCCTTGCTGACCCCCCATTCTTGCAGGACGTAGAAGGCCGAGCCTGGGCAAGCCTCACCTCTGCCTGGAGAGCCCCTGAGGTAGTCAGCGTGGGTGGCGTCTGGACCGACCCCCTGTGTGCCCTGCAGGGATGGCTCCAAGGGTTGTCAGCCCCTGACCTCACACACCCTCCTGCCTGGGCCAGCCCCGCCAGGCCCCTGATGCCAGAAGATGATGATGTGCACAGAAACCCACCCTGTGGGCTGTCCATGTCCGAGCCCCCCTGGTGTCTCTGGAATGTAAATAAAGAGGGTGTTTCCCTGACATATGCTCCACCTGTGCTGTCCCTGATGCACCCCTCCCCCAGGATGACCCAGGTGGGGGTGGGGCCTGGCTGCCCAGCCTGTCACACGTACACCCCATACCCCCCCACCCCGAACCCCACAGCCACGCCTCAGAAGACCCTGACCCTTTCTCCCAGGCACAGGGAGCTTGGCTGTCCCTCCCAGGGCCCTCTGCTGGGTCTCTGTGCATCTCACAGCAAGGCAGGCCCTTGAGGGGTGGGAAGCCACTGGCTTTGTTCCAGAGCAACCTGCCAGTGGTGTGGCCCAGTGACAGGAGTTGGCAGGGGTGTTGGAGGCTTTCTGTCCCCTGAACGTCAGGCATCTCATTACGTTGCCATTGTGGCCCTCCCAGCCAGCTTGTCTGCTGTGCTCAGGCTAATCCTGCACATTGAGGCTTGATGGGTCTAGGGAGCGCCCTTCGGCACCCGGCCGCACCTGTCAGTCACTGCAGAGAGACAGTGCTGACAGTGACGGGCAGGGCCCTGCATTGTGCTGGGGCTTTAGCGGTGGTTAATCTTGTGTCTTCCTTAAGAAAACATCACTTAGTCTACCCGCCCGGGAGCCCTGGATGGGACCCTGCTTGTCAGCGAACAAAGGAATGTCTTTGCACCTAATGGGCCTACGGGAGCCTCAGACACTCGCCTGCTTGGTGTGAAGCGTGTGCAGGAGCTCTCAGACGCCCAATTAAGATGCCGAGTACAGGGCTGGGCCAGCGCACTCTTGACAAGTGCGGCAAGAGATCAGCCGTGTCCCATTTAACGCACGGTTGGCGGCGCGCCCCTGCCTTGGAAGGTGCAGGGAAAGCTCCCATGTGCACTGGGGGTGAGGCGTTCCCCTGCCTTGGAGGCAAAGGGTGAGGTCTGCAGAGGGAGGTCAGCTAACGTAGCTGAGCTGCTGGGGGTGTCAGGAGGGCCCCCTTGGAGTAGGGCTGGGCCCCTGCCATGGGGCAAACAAGGAACTTGAAGTGGCTTCGTTGTTTTTCATGATGGTAGAAATGATGTAGCCTGTGTGGGAGCCATCAGCACACACCAGGCAGTCTCTGGGGCGAGGACTTTCCACCTCCCTGCTCATGCCACCAGTCAGCCAGAGCGCCAGCCCCGTGTCCTTGACCTCACAGTCCCCCACCACCAGCGGTTTTCTCCAGGCACCCTTTGCCCTAGAACAGACCTTGCTCCAGCACACTTGCTGTGTCTGTAACAGCCACTGTCTCCACACTGTGTCCGGCCAGTTCACCCAGCTTGTGTCTTCCTCTAGGAAGGAAAGAAGCATCTGCGGTGCTGCGCCCTGCCAGCCTCATTGTCTAGTCATGCGGGGACTCAGGACACCTCTTGAGGGGTGCGTCCTATGTGGCCTTGAGGCTCCACAGCCCCTGTCCAGGAGGCCTCAGGCCCACTGGCTCCCCCTGTATGGGGACTCACACCTTCCTGGCAAACTGTGGGCAAAGGCCTGGCCCAATTCACAAAGCCAATGGGCATTCCATGCAAAAGTCTGCCACAAAAGGCCCAGCCCTGACAACTGCCATCACCTGGGCCACCTTCCGGGCCATATGCTGCTTCAGTATATGCCTGCCTGGCCGTGGGGTTCAGCACCCTGAATGTCCCACATGCTCCTACTGCCCTGGTGGGCCCTAGGGATGACAGCTCAAGGTCCCCTGCCCAGCACTCAGGCAGGTCACATACTTGGGTCTCAAGTCTGAGCAAGAGCATGGGGAGCAGGACAGATGTGTTGGGCCACAGTGGTTTCTGTTCTGCGTGTCCCAGGGACCACCTGGCTCCAGACTCACTGTGTAACCCAAGGCCCCCTCCCTGGGCCCAGCCGTGCCCTGCTCCCCTCCTCCCAAGGAGCCAGAGCAGCACTGGCCAGGTGCTATCCACTTGGCTCCAGGGCTGCCTTCCCTCCATCTTTGCATGTTTTTATGGTGCAATGAAAATATAATTTTAATTTCTCAGATTGTTTGGTGTAACCTGTAATTATCCCCGGTGCTGTCCTGCACACTTCTGTCTATGGCTCCAGATTTCACAATGATGTAGGGGTTGTGGTGGTGGGGTGGGGGGGGATCGCTGTTGCTCAGAGGCCAAGCTATACCTTCCCTGCCTCACCCTCTGCCGTGAAGGGGGGCAGGTCACCCTCTGGTCACCTACTACCCCCCTCCTTCCCCTAGCCCCATGAGGTACTGTCCACAATGGTCCTGAGGGCCCCAGGAAGGTGGGTACACAGAGAAGGGATGACAAGTTATTATCAAGGACCTAAAGGACTCAGCAAGGGAGGGGCAGGCTGGGTCTGAGGCGGATATCTGGAGCTGATGGAGTGGGCATCAGCCCACAGAAGGTAGCCCAGATGCTCAGCCTGCAGGCCCTCTAAACCCTCCACAGTTGGTGATGACCCCCAATATTCCACAGCCCTGCTGGGACTCCCTGCCTTGCTGGGTAGCTAGTGGGAGATGCTGTCCCTACACATGCCTCAGCCATGTTTTCACATGACTGGGGAGGCCTGGCTGAGGAAGTGACCAGGGGCCAGGGGCCCTCACTGGTGGAGTTGCCCCATGAGAAACAGCTTGGCGTCGGCTGGCACCTGCAGCTCAGTGTCTGTGCCAGTGGCCTCGGGTTCAGGCTTGCCCCTGAGGTCCCTGGGGTCCCTCACTTGGCTCAGGCAGCAGCTCAAAGGTGTGACCAGTGCTCTGGGCCCTGGCCCACTCCCCAGCCTGAAGCAGGCCCTGGGGGCAGGACTGAGACCCTCGCCCCTGGCTCATACTGAGCTGTGAGGACCTGCCGCTGAGCAGGCAGTCCAGAACCCTGCAAAAAAGGATGCCCAAGTCAAGGGCCAGTATGCTCATCACAAGCTGTGTCATCTCCAGAGACTTGGGCCACCAGGCCATGTCATTGAGCCCTCCAGACCCTATTCAGGGTGCCTGGCCCATTCTGGTCAGGGGGCTCATTGCCCCACACTCATATCACTCACGGGAAGCACCCATGTAGGCATCTAGTTCTTACAAGTACATTACAAGAGGTTCCTCTATGCTGGACTAATAATCGGGGTCCAGGCCAGGGTGGGGGCCGGGCTGCTAGGGGCCATTTCTATCTGCCCAAGCTGGCCCACTCAGATGCAGCCAAGCATCCCAGGCCCCAGACTTTTCCCACTCATCTCTGTGTCCCTTTGGGAACCACCACCCCCACCCCTCTCCACCCTGGGCCCCCTGAGTGCCCCTTTCCATCCACCTACCTTCTTCCTTGTCAGTGCCCACTGTTCCCACTTGGCTCACCCTTGGGTCCTGGTCAGGGCGTACACAGGAGATGCAGTGGGCTAGTCACTGCCAGAGACAGGTCGGGAGCCAACCCCTCCCCACCCCCACCCCCACCCCCGACCCCAGGTGAGCAAGCAGCAGTAGGGTGTTCTCTGTGTGAAGCAATTCTTGATCCACATG